ATATATATTGAAGTTGGTAAATGCTGTAGTTTTCCGAAATGATGTAAATAATGTATTGTGTTTTAAGATTTCGTTTCCATAGGTATTTGAGAAGTTTTGCCTTCTCTCTGGTGCAAATAATCGAATGTTTATTGCGCAATTAGTGTTGTGTCGAGGTCATGAATATATACTATTTCGACTTAAATATTTGTTGAGAAAAACTGTTTGGCGACATTTGTTGTAGTGTTAGTCATTCGTGGGATTACTTACTCGAAATTGTGTCGTATTAACTGTTTAAATGCATTTACTGGCTAGTTCTAAAACCTGCCTATTTACATCTCACAGGCTGTGGTCAGCAATTTCCTTATCAAATAACAGTATTGTGACATTGTAATGTTACATTCACACAATTCATATTTCTCTTAGTCTAAGAACATTTTAGAAGTTATTTTTACTCAAGTCTACATTTTAGAAATTATTTTTACTCAAATTTACTTCATTATAGGGAAGTTCCAATAACAATGATTAGAAATGAGCAGGAATAAACATGTCAATTCTATCTCATAATGTAGCGAAATACTCACGGAATTCAAAAAAATCTTGGTTAAATATGCATTTCATCTATATGACATTGAAATAAACATCTGAGTACATAAAAACTAATTAGTAATTACATTACTAATCATCAGATTAGTGCTGTATTTCACAAATCACTGCCTGTGAAATGTTTTAAAATTTTTAAAACTCAAGAATACTTCCACTGTAGTGCAGAACGTGCATCTGGCAGGAATTAGAATGAGTATTGTACGAGTAGTGACACGTGCCACCGTCTTGGTGAAACATTTCATAATAAATGAAGGTACATGACTGCGGTCTCCACGACTAATTAGAAAGTACAAAAATACGTAACAAATATTATGTTCATACTCTCCATGAAACTAAAAGCGTGTAGTTATTATATTTGGATGAGAATTTGTTTATAAGTCAATGTCATGAAAAATAATTCAAATATCGAACGGAAGTTTCGCTAGTCTTCAATACAAAACGGAGAGCTTGAAAGCTCATCAGTAACGATTTCCATACATTGGTCTTATCTTGGAAAACATGAATACAATATAACTGAGGACAACTCCATTTTACGAAGTTTCTTGCTCTCTCGAAGAAAGGTAATGACTAATATTAACCTTCGAGGCAGAGATTGGCACTGTATTTAAAATGACGATAAGATTGAAAACTTCAAAAGACTCATAGTTACTACGCAAAATTTGCACCAACTGTAAGTTTGAAAGTGTTTCTACAATAAACCCGCGATACCACTAATAAGTCTTGTTACGCTACGTCTTGTTTTTATTTCGAAGCACAAATAAATAAATAAACAAACAAACAAACAAACAAACAAACATTTCGCGGGAAGGCATCGTTTAGCCGCGATATATGCTCAAAGATATCGCCCCCGTATTGAATACCATGTGACGGGTATTTACTGGTTCTAAAGATCTCGAGAGCTCGATCATTAGAACCCGCATAAAGCCCTTGGTGCATAATCAACTATTATATTAACAATGATCTATAATGCATTCGTTAAAATTTACATTCTATGGTTTTAAAAATACTTAATATTCTTGTAACAATGTAAGTAATGTACAGCTTCTGGGTTAATGACCCCATTCAATTAGTTTTCCTGATCCTTTCGGATGCTGAGATCGCCCGTTGTTTTGATTCCGAACACAAATATTAAGCGAAAGTTTTATTGAGCTAGTTGGGGTAAGAAGAGAGACGGGGGTTTAGATTTCTATTTTGTTAGCAATTCTAAACCAGTGGTACAGCAGAATGGCAATTCTTTCTCGCACTAGCTATATTTCTAATCTCTTTATACAGGACCATCTTTTCAGCTCCACCCTCTTCCCTGCTGCTATCTATTGCCACCTAAAAATATTTTTTTCTCAATGGCTTTCTCACTGAGTTGAAGAATATAACCCGTAACGTAAAGTAAAACCCGTTTCTATAACAAAGTTTTGTTGAAAAATTTGGAGCCGCTTTGGAGAAAATATCGTTATTGTGTTTTTGAAACTGGGCCATTTTGAGGTCATTTTCACAAAATAGTTTGGAGTTTTCGAGAAACTTTCTTATAAATTATTTGCCGCACTTGTACTTACAAATACAATAACGTATAGAAATCACTGCTAAAGTAAATATTAACGACGTGAGAGAAATACAAAAAAGGTACAATTGCGTAAAAATATAATTGGGCGAGATGGATCGGAGAATATACATTTTGAAAATAATTCTACCAATAGTTTATGCGCTACTGTTGTTCAGACAGACGGACAGGCAAGCAGAGTTAGGGAATGACAGATGGACGGATGGACGGACGATCAGAAAAAAATTCAGTACGTAGGGTTCCAAAATCGAGTATTTCTGTTGAAATCGTGAAATCTATTTCCGCAGCATTATAAAACATTTTTTTGTACTACGTACAGGTATGTTACTTCTTATACGTACAAGAAAAATTAAAATCAAATCTGTAGTGAATTTACAGATTCTATAATGTTTTGTGTGACTTACGAACAAGTTTTCAAATGTTGCTATCCTCACTTTGTTAAAACATCAGTTGCTATTTATCATTTAGTTTAGGATGGGGATTTTATTTAGTTAAGGATGGGGAAAAGTTCTGGAACTTAAGAGAACGAGCGCATTGTGTACTTCTTTTCTAAATAATGACACACAGATTTTAATGTTCTTCGACACGAATAAATCAAATAAAATATTCATCGCCAAACGCTTAAAAATTATACTATTAATATTTAATCATTCTGGGTGAACTCTAACACACCTCTATATTTGCAGGACATAATGAAAATTAAAACAAACTTGGACGATAAAGCTAATAAAATTTGAGGGGACAAAATAAATTAATGCCAAAATTACGATAATAATATTCCATCCCCTGAATACAAGAGAATGGACATAGACAAACGAGAGTGTTATGTACTAATCATGTTGTCTCTGTTCTAGATCATCTTTGGATTTTTTTTTATTTTGTATAACTTTGTGTTGTATTTCTGTGAAATTATTTTGAATTTCATGAAATTCTCATTGAATCATCTGTTAACGCTGGCCTCCTAAAGCTAAAAGACGTTTTATGTTTTATATTTTTTTCGATGAATGTTTATAACATCCGAAGCATTACTCGTTTACAAGACAGTGTAATAGTTGAAAACATCTAAATAAATTATATATGTACATTACAAACTTACATTATAATTTCTCATATATTAAATGTACGCATATTTGCTAAATCTCTCATTGCCGAAACTGATATTTGTATAAGCCTCTTAGATTTAGGAGGGCAGAGAGTCAAACAATTTTTTTATTGAAATCAATTTTGATATCAGTGAGCCATTATTGTTTTTGTCCTTGTTATTCTCAAAATATCTAACATGCTCTGTTTGACATGTGCTTACTGCTAACTACTAATTACTAATACTATCCGATGCCGATGTTTTCCAGGGAAAAAAATTGGGTGTTTGAAAGTTATTCAGGCAAGTGCTTCTGAATTTCTTACATAAACTAATAAAGACCGCACTATGTTTGATCCCCATGAATAAACCAATAATTCATGAAAAATAAATATTACGGAGGAGCAAAAACTCTTGCCATCCTGTACTTCCTGACATATTTTGCACATACCTTTTAGTATGAATAAATAGGCAACTCAACTAATTTGGTATCAGTTTACAACTAGGAAAGTTCATATATGTTCGTAAATCCTCAAGCACCCAATTGTCAGCAACTAGAAGGAATTTAACTTTTCGCATTATACCCAAATGTAAAGATTAATTAGTAGAAATAAGTAAATTTATTCCCTATTTACAAAATAAATTGACTAATGTTATTTATCGGGATCAAAGATAGTTGGAAAAAATACTATAAACATTTCTTCTTACTCTATTACGAACGTAAATAATATCTTTTCTGTTTTAGGAGAACCAAAGTGGGAATACCTAATATTTAATCCATGGTCAACATGGGTGATATTCCGTGCGCAACAAATACAGGCAAATACAGAGAGAGAAGAAAAAGATGCGAGAACATTTTCAAGAATCTAAGTAATTGATAAAAAAATTGCAACGACCATATTGGAAATGATTTGTTGATCGTATTTGTTTGTTCTGGCGCATATAACTGAACTATTTAACGTATATTATCAAAATGTTAATATCGTAAGTACATCATCATATTATATACGAAATTGTAATTTTTTTCTTTGTAAGTATTGTATGAAATATAATGTTGCTCGATGTTTTAATACTTTCTTCTCAAAACTACAAGTTAATAATTTCCTAGAAGATACTGGTATTTAAAAATACGGATGAGACACCACCATTTCAAAAATCTTTTTTTTACAGGTAACTATTTCTAATTCATGTAATTGTAATATGATATTCTGATTTGTCATAATATAAAGAAAATAAACGAAGCTTATTGAATGCATTTGGTCTTTCTTAATTTTAGGAATGTGACGTTACTGGTTTTACGAAATTAAATCATGAAGGACAACTCCAGGACCTCTGGATGTATCACATGGGGAGTTTTTGGAAAATATTGAATCGCCAAATACTCTCAATGTGGTACTTCAAGGGCACCACAATCATCACAAATTCTTATGAACGAGACACAATATGTTAATAAAAGAGGGAAAAAAGATGAAGAAGAACTACCAACATGAGAAATCACATTAATGCCTCCGGTAATGCTGTTAGATTTAAACATATTATAATAATTTTTTAATACTTAAACAATGAGAATATTACCATGAATACGATATACATTGTTAAATTTTAGAACCGTTACAAGAAAAGAAATTAACTCAGATGCTACAAACATTAAAGTGTTGTGACAGAAAAGTTGAGAACGCAAAAGTTCACTATTCAAAGTTGAAGTAAATGTCAGAACTTTGAATATGAACTTCATTTCATAGACTTACAATTAATATTGTTGAAGTTAATTTTAAAAAAAATGGAAACCACATAACTGCTAGTGTATCATATTCGTGTGATCCGAGGAGACACGGAACTTTCATTCTCTTTATTTGCTGATGTTTGATCACCCGGTTCTACTACAATTTTTTTTCCTAGGGAACAGCATTTTCGAAGGTAACATTTCCCTCCCCCTTGTTTGTGACATGTTCGTTTTTGACGCCCTATTTAGGCTCTGATAATACACATACGGGTAGTTGGAAGATGGCATACAGTATGAAAATGTGAGTCGGATGTGATGAATTTAATTAACAAAATTACATGTAAATATACACAAAACTAATCAAAATTGTTTTCTTCTATTGCAGAAGCGCGTTTTATACGATTTTCTTTACAGAAGAGTGATGGAAGAACACCTAAAGTTTCTTTACTGTATGTAATCTTTTCAGTGTGCATATATGTAAGTATATTATAGCAAAAATGACACTACTAATTAAATAAACATTTCCAGGTTTAGTTATTTTACTTGGAAACGAAGTGAGGACAATCCGAAAGGGTTGGAGAAAATGACGAAATGAGAAAATGGAGAAAGAGAAGAAAAAGACTAGAAAAAGAAACCATGGTCATCATGATGATACTGTGTTGTAATATTGGATAGCATTCTGCATATATCGACAATTCTGTTTTTAAATGATGATATGTATATCTTAACTCTCAACTTGACGCCATGACCGCCAAGATCTCATTCGATCCACATTTTAGATATAAAAACGCAGCATGCAACTTATTGACAAGAAGACGTCTCGTTCTCGATTCTCCTCCTAAAGTATTTTTCGAAGCGTTTTGCGTTGACGTGAACATACAGAATTAAATGTGACTTTCAACAGTGACTTACTGTTGGGTTTCTTTTGCGCAACATTCCTCTCAAGGGGACAGTATTAACCATTACTACGTCGGTAGTTTCAATATTGTAGACGACTTTAGAAGACGCTGAATGTCTGTACATATGTGGTACAAGTAGGAAACACATCATCCGCAGTGTTTCTTGTAAAGTACATTACAAAACCATTACTACGAACGTAGACTTCAATACTAATCTAAATTCATTGTGATTTATGTACGTGTTGTGATATACAAAGGGCGCAGTATGCAAGGGCGAGTTTAATAGAGCGAGGGACTTTAATAAAAACCAAAAACTCTTTATTTTTAAAGACATTTCGTATTATTAATTTTGTAAAAAACAAAATAATTATTAAACACTTATTTTCACTTTTTCGTCTTACAATGTATGACGTTTTGATGAGATGTTTTCGCCTACTTTTGGTACATGTCTCGTGCCTCATTGCGTTTTCACTAATGTTTTTCCCGAGGTAATTGTATGATCGCGTGCGGTGTGAGCTAGTCTGGTACTATTGCGGAAAATGCGTTATCTTCAAGTCTCATTACGCATAATGAAGAACTATCTTTCATGTTTTAGCGAAATCTCTAAGACATTGGTTTTGTAGTCCCTAAATCGGGGCCCTTTGTATTTCATTCATTTAATGACGTTTAGCTCACATAGAAATTCCACAACTGTGCAAACACTTGTCAGAAAAATTCATACAAAACTTTTCAAAAAATGGTGCATTCTTCCAGTTAATGTATCAATAAAAACGGAAGTGTGCTCTAATTTTTTTTGTCAACAATTTTAAATTTGATTCTGGTATTATGGTCATGTTACTTGCTTCTTCAAAGACTTCCCATAATGGATCTCTATCAAATAAACTATTGCTACAATGGACTCTGTGGCGACTGCTGCGCGGAAGGGCTAAGTGGTGACGCAAGCGGTGACTGATATACGAGAGGTCTCGGCGGCAACCGCGGAGGCGACGGCTGCGCGGAAGGAATCTTTGGCGGAACAGGTGGCGGCGACGACGGCCGCTCGGGAGGATACGGTTGCGAAGCCGGCGGCAGCTGCTGCGCTGGAGGGCTCTGCGGTGACGGCTGCGCGGGCGAGATCAGCAGCAACAGGGACGATGACGACGGCTGCGCGGGAGGACCCGGTGACGTTGTCGGCGGCAGCAGATGCGCTACACGGCCCGGCGGTGAAGGCTGCGCGGGGGAGATATGCGGCAACGGTGGCGGCAGTGACGACGGCTGCGCGCGAGGACACGGTGACGATGCCGGCGGCAGCAGCTTATGCGGATGCCCGGCGGTGAAGCTGCGCCGGAGAGATATGCCGGCAACGGTGGCGGCAAGACACGACGGCTGGGCGCGAGGACACGGTGACGATGCCGGCGCAGCAGCTATGCTGGATGGCCCGGCGGTGAAGGCTGCGCGGAGAGATATGCGGCAACGGTGGGCGGCAGAGACGACGCTTCGCGCGAGATACGGTGGACTAATGCCCGGCGGCCATGCAGTGCGCTGGATGGCCGGCGGTGAAGGCTGCGCGGGAGAGATATGCGGCAACCGGTGGCGGCCGAACACGACCGGCTGGCGGCGAGGACACGGTGACGATGCCCGGCGGCAGCAGCATGCTGGATGGCCGGCGGTGAAGGCTGCCGGCGGGAGAGAATATGCGGCAACGGTGCGCGGCAGAGACGACGGCGGGCGCGAAGGAACGGTACGTTGCCGGCGGCAGCAGCTAATGGGCTGGATGGCTCGGCCGGTGAAGGCTGCGCGGCGAGAGATTGGCGGCAACGGTGGGCCGGCAGACACGACCGATTGCGCGCGAGGACACGGTGACGTTGCGGCGGGAGCAGTGCGCTGACGCCCCAGCGGTGAAGGTAAGCGGAGAGATATGCGGCAACGGTGGCCGGCAGAGCCGACGGCTTGGGCGCGAGGGACAACGGTGCACGATGCCGGCGGCCAGCAGCTGCGCTGGATGGCCCGGCGGTGAAGGTGCGCGGGAGAGATATGCGGCCAACGGTGGCGGCAGAGAGACGGCTGGGCGCGAGGAACACGGTGACGATCGCCGGCTGCACAAGCTGCGGCATGGATGGCCCGGCGGTGAAGGCTGCGGCGGGAGAAGATGCTGCGGCAACGGTGGCGGCAGAGACCGACGGCTGGGCGCGAGGACACGGTAACGATGCCGGCGGCAGCCAGCTGCGCTGATGCCCGGCGGTGACCCGGCTGCGCGGGAGAGATCTGCGGCAACGGTGGCGGCAGAGACGACGGCTGCGAGCGAGGACACGGTGAACGATGCCGGCGGCAGCAGCTGCGCTGGATGGCCCGGCGGCGAAGGTGCGCGGGAGACATATGCGGAAACGGTGGCAGCCAGACGACGGCTGCGCCGCGAGGACCCGGTGACAGATGCGGCGGCAGCAGGTGGCGCTGCGAATGGCCCGGCGGTGAAGACTGCGCGGGAGAGGTATGCGGCAACGGGTGGCGGCAAGAGACGAACGGCTTGCGCGCGAGACACGTGACGATGCCGGCCAACAGCTTGCGTGGATGGCCCGGCGGTGACGGCTTGCGCGGGAGATATGTGGCTCGGCGGGGCGGAACTCGCGGGCGAACTCGGCGCGGCGAAACTCGGCGCGAACTCGGGGCGACACTCGGCGGGCGAACTCGGCGGCCCGTACTCGGCCGGCCGTACTCGCGGCCGTACTCGGCGGCCGTACTCGGGGCGGCCGTACTCGCGGCCGTACTCCCGGCGGCCGTACTCGGCGGCCTACTCGGGCCGTACTCGGCGGCCGTTACTCGGCGGCCGTATCGGCGGCCGTACTCGCGCCGTACTCGGCGGCCGTAACTCGCGCCGTAACTCCGGCGGCCGTACTCGGCGGCCCGTATCGGCGGCCGTACTCGGCGGCCGTACTCGGCGGCCATACTCGGCGGCCGTACTCGGCGGCGTACTCGGCGCCGTACTCGGCGGCCGTACTCGGCGGCCGTACTCGCGGCCGTACTCGGCGGCCCGTACTCGCGGCCGTACTCGGCGGCCGTACCTCGGCGGCCGACTCGGGGCCGGCCGTTACTCGGCGGCCGACTCGGCGCCGTACTCGGGGCCGTACTCGCGGCTACGGGCATCAATGGGTACTTGAGAAGGAGCTCAGCGGCGACGGCGGTAAAACGAATGGCGATAGTTGAACGAGAGGAACTCGGTGGCGATGAAACGGCTTCGCGGAGGACTTTAACGGCAAGGCGACAGCGGTTGCGGGGAAGAACAAGATGGCAACCACGTCTTGTGCGGGAGGATTCTGTTGGGTACGTGGCAGTGACCGGCCTGTTGCAGGAGGTCTCACCGGAGCCACGACGACGACTTCGTTCGCGTGGAGATCTCGATGAGGCTGCGCGGAAGATCGGTTGTGATCCAACACCAGCGGGTGAGCTCTACTGGAGCACTGCGGCGATGGCAGCGGCTCGCAAGAGGAGTCTGTAGTGAAGACTGCGTGGGAGGCTCAATCGGCAATACAGGCAGTGACGAACGGCTGGTCGGGGAGGAACGGTAGCGCGACCAAGGTGGCGGTGATGGCGGAGGCGATGAGGAAGGCGGTTGAAGGACATGGCGGCCGATCCTGTCGGCAGTGAAATGCTCACGAGACTCGGCGGAGGCAACGTGTCTGCTCAGCGCGTCGTCAGTGAAAGCTGCATGTGAGGACTTCAGCGTCACCAGTGACGTTGGC